ATCATGCCTATTCACCAATTTCTGAACAGTCACAACCATACGGATGCCACGCGTACACCTAACCGCCATGCAGGGCGTACGTGCGAAGTGCCAAGTGTGCCTCTAAAGCGCCCAATGCGTACTTTGCGACGTGCGCGTGCCGGGACCGGGACCGGGACCGGGTCCGGGGAACGGTGCTAGTGGTGCGAAGCACCACTCTAGTGGTGACTAGCCTTTGGCTAGTTTGCTAGCCTTTGGCTAGCTAAAGTTAGCCAAGTGGTAGGTAACATATTAAATTATGTATTATTTACACAACCCACTATATAAACAAGACTATTTTCTTGTAAACTTTCGATGTGGGACTCCTTTCCATATAAAAACTACTTAAAATGGGCTTATCAATATATGGGCCTATATTGGAGACTTTTCCAATTCACTCTAATTAATTGCAATGGCCCATATCATTAAATATTACATTTAATATTTTAAACCCAAATCAAATTCAATTAATTCCAACACTTCCAACACTCCATGTCTTCACCAAATTGGTACTTAACTCTTCGACCTCATCATTTCTGCTCCCAGATGATCTTTCAATTATTTACACTTTGGTCCTTGGACTTTGGTTTCTTCCATTTTGGTCCCTTTTCCGCTTGTTTCTCTTAATTTTCAGCACATTCATCAATGTTCTCCTACAAAACATAATTTATACAAAATTAAGCCATATTCCAATATAATTACCAACAATTGTCCATGTTTTGAGGCAAGTGTGTAAAACGCATTTATCAATTATCATACATTAGGTTAAAGTCTATAGAAGACAAATGTAAGTTGTAACCATAGCAAGTTTACTTTGAGGGAATTTTTTTATTTTTTATTTTTTATTTTTTTAATTATGATGCCGCTATTAGCCGGCTGCCAACCAGGTTTCAATTTATAAATACTCTTGTGTACTACGCCAGGAACCATATATCTTTGCTAATTACTAAAAACTTCTACTTTCAGAGTCAGCAATGGCGTCCAAAGCTTTTTTGATCACGATTATTATTGCTGTAATTGCTGCTCCATGTTTGGCAACTGATTATGTAGTTGGAGACGACGCAGGCTGGAAACTCAAGTTTAATTACACAGCATGGGCCGAGGGAAAAGAGTTCTTCGTTGGTGATAGACTCAGTACGTTATGTTAATTATATTGTTCTTTTTAATTTCTATTACTCGTACTTAAATATGATTTTGTTCGTGGGCCACTATCATACATTGTTAAACCTAGCTTAAAATCATCGAAAAAAAGCTTTTGGGGGGGGGGGGGGGGGGGGGGNNNNGGGGGGTGGGGGGGGGGGGTGGAGATTATAGAGCTGCTTGTGCTTGAGTGATTCCAAAAGAAGGAATGAGTTTTGTGTCCACATCAATTCAAATCTTTTCCTACTTAACATGTTAAAGTATATCGTCTAAAAATTTAAGATATTGTCAAATTATAAAATAGCTATGTCAACTCCCGGCCTGACGTCTATCGACTACCTCCAACCCCGACCATATAATTTAGGCTTTGGCTTTGCTCTTACTTCTTAGGTGTTTATATTATAATTTAGCTTACTAAAAGCTATAAGTCCTAAAGAATGTGGGGATAAAAGTTGGTAGTAGTTGTGGGTTCTATGAATTATGTAAATAATAAATATGTTTGACCAAAAGTGAGTATAAAAATAAACAATCACCAACCAAACATGCATTTAAATCTTATACATGAAACGTGTTTTTTTGGTGCAGTTTTCAATTATCCACAGGCGGCTCATAACGTTTACAGAGTAAATGGTACTGCCTTTCAACAATGTATGGTACCATCTGCATTTGAGGCTCTAATTAGCGGAAATGACATAATAACCCTTGCGACGCCTGGGAAAAAGTGGTACATTTGTGGTGTTGGGAACCATTGTGATGCCGGTATGAGGCTCGCCATTACTGTTTCTTATCCAGTGGACGCTCCAGCTCCCGCACCAGCTGCCGGAACTTCAGCAGCTAATGAAATATCTCCTTTGAGATCTTGTGCGTGCATGCTTGCAGCATTGGCCAGTCTTAAAATGATCATGGCTTCGTGGTGATGTAGCACTTCTATTTTCCATGCCATATAATCAATAATCTTGTAGTGTAGGGAAAACTTCTATGATTTTTAGCTGATTATTATATGATTATTGTTGTTATGTCGTTTCAAGTTAATTCTTTTGTATTATCAACTTATTCTTTCAACTAGAAGTCTTGCGTGAAAAAGCAATTATTGGCCATAATGAGGTGACGATGTGTTATGAAATTTACAAATTAAGTATTAAGAATCCGTTTCGTTATTAATTATTTCTTGACTTGTTTCATTATTGTAAATGGATTTATTCATAAATTTTTTGTTGATTCAAGAATTATTTTCTCTTCCTTGGAGCCCCATTCTACATGCCAATACGGCAACAATGAAATTTATAGTAAAAGGAAAATCCGTCGACTTTAAAAATCGTGAGGGTTCAAGTCCCTCAATCCCAAAAAGCCTATTTGACTCCCCAAATATTTATCCTATCCCTTTTTCATTAGTGGTTCCAAATTCCTTATTTTTTGATATGCCGAGTAGTATATCCCTATCAGTAATTATCTAGGAAAGGACTATATTCTATATACGGAAAAACTTGAGGTAGGAAATATTTAGATTGGAAAATTATCAATTTTGATCTTACACAAAAAGTTGATATTATGTTTTATATTTGCTACTAATTTAACATGTCACATAGAGTAATTTAAAAATTAATGGTTATCTGATAATAGGAAGTAGGTGTTCAATGCTGCCAAC